ACAGGCATTGTGACTACAGACTCTGAGGGAGGAGAACTTCTGAGTTACCAAGGCAGTGAACTGTTTGATAAAAAATACGGAAGATTCATTTGACAGCTAATAAAAGCTGAAACTATGGAAAATCCTTGAAGACCAGAGTCGAAGGAAGGTCTTCAGAGCCATTGATATTATCCTAGCTTTTGCTTTCTTCATGTTTTTGCTTGAATTTGAGTCAAAAAAACTTCTCTTAAACTTATGAACCCACCTCATTCTTCAAAACCCCAAATAATTCTCATTCCTCTAGAAGCCATAAAACCTGGTATATAACATCATAGAGTCTGGAGTAAAAGAGGCCTGTATTTGAATTGCAACTCTAACACCTAATAAATGGATACTGCTGAGAGTTTACTTAAGTTCTTAAAGCTGCAGTTCTTCATTTGTATATTGATGTAGGTGCTAGAAATGGGGTCCAGGAAGTATAGTGAGAGAGATGGTACTATACATATAGGGGCTAGATTATATATCTTCTTAATGACAGAATGAACGTGGCTTAAGAATAAGCATAAGGATATGGGTTGAAATCAACCTACTAAATGAGACTGGAGCCTAATATTTCTGAATGAACTCCGGCAGTGGCCAGGTAACCCTGAAACCAAGTGAGATTATTTTGTGAATTCTAGTAATTTGTCTTATACATAGTCTGCTCGGAGAGATTTCCCAAATAAGAGAGTATTCAGTAGATGAAATAACAGAAAAAGACTGAGAAGTCTAAATTGCATTTAATGTGGAACCATCAAGGAATACAGAAGAAGAGCGATGCTTATGGAAAATTCTCAGAAATAAAAATAAAGGGAGCATACTGAAAGTGTAGGAAAAGGAAGGAAGGGGTACCAGTCCCTAAAAAGTTGTTCACTGAGTAGTTGACAGCTTTTTGAGAGTATCCTTTAATGCCAGACAGGGACTGAGTCAGGGCAGAAGCTGTAGGAGGAGACCTTCAAGTAGAAGGAAGGGACGAAAGAGAACCAAGAATCAGCAGCCTTCTGCTCTGCTTGACATGGGGTGACGTTCTGGCCTCTGTGTAAGTAGAGTATGACTTAGGATTGTACCTCTTGGCACATCTTAGCTATACATCCGTGTCAGGACTATGTGAACACTTCTGCCCCCACCAAAACTTCAGACTTGAGAGAAAAGGAGTTTCTTAATTGTGAGTTGAGCCTTCCATTGGCTTTCCCAATAGTTAATGTCCTCTGCCCTTTCCATGACCAGACTCCAGCTCTTTGGGCAGCTGCCTCAAAATCCTTTGCCCCAAATCAGCGACTTTTGACAATAGGCAGGAAATAAATTAAAATCACAATAGCCATCCCTTGGGAAAAGAAGTCGAAATCTGATTAATCAGACATATAGCAACTCCAAAAATTGGAGCAAGAAAGGAACTTAGCAGCACCCAGACGGCTCACAGTGCATTTGACACCCTCTGAAGACATGGCCAATGCTTTGTTCTACTTCACACAAACCGCATGCCTTGTGCTTCATTGGCATTAATAAATACACATGGAACAGATTGGTCATAATTGTGTCACGGGAATAAAAGTAATAGTCCTGACACGGATGTATACCATGAGGCATCCAAGGCACAAAACGGGAAAAAAACTTGCCTAAAATCTCACAGTTAGTAGGGGATGGAGCCAGAGTGGTCGTGTTCTCAGAGCTGGTGCTCTTGGGCCGTCTGAGACCTGTGCCTCTGGAGCAGCTGTTGGACTGAGGCTGCGCCATCTCCAGTCCATTGCGTTGCTTTTTCTTCCCATCACCCATCTGTTTTTCCTATGATACTGACATACTACTTCAAGGACAGGACCATCTGTTGTCATCTCAATTCCTCGTCTTCTGACCTCATCCTACATAATGTGAAGTTTTCCAAAGTAGACCTTTCTTACTAAAAGTAACTTTTTGCTTAGTTTTTCAACCCAGGTGACATACAACCACCTCAGCACCCTCCAGATGTCCTGCCGGGGGCCCGCTCTCCTCCCTCAGATCTTAGTGCAGTCCCAGCGTCTGCGCATGCTCAGTAGCTGGTTCTTTGTTCCTTACGGTGTGTTGGTATATTGCGTGCGTATGTTTTCTGTTTTGCTGATCTGCTCCATTGAAGCATCCATTTAACACTGATTCCAGGAAAATCTCCAACTTTAAGGCCCTCGTGCAGGTGATATCCTTCCACCTGCATATATACGTGTGTGGACATTAAGGCCCTCATGCAGGTGATATCCTTCCACCTGCATATATACGTGTGTGGACATTAAGGCCCTGGTGCAGGTGATATCCTTCCACCTGCATATATACGTGTGTGGACATTAAGGCCCTGGTGCAGGTGATATCCTTCCACTTGCATATATATTTGTGTGGACCCTAGATGCAATGGAACATTTGTGAGGCCTTACTGCTTCTCTGTATCTTTTTAACATGTGGACATTTTAAATAATCTAATTGCGTTGCATTATAAATATTCCCTAGATTGGGTAGACAGTACATTTTTCCTTTGGAATTCAAACGACTTTTAACATAGGACCTCATTATGTTAGTAACTGTCCCCTTAAGAGTTTCTTGCTTGCTTGTTTGTTATGAACAAGGTTGAGAAAAGGCAGGAGGGACTGCACACCTAGTTCAGGGAGGCCTGGCCTGTACCTGTGCTTCTGTGACCGTTTTCTAAGATCGCAACTTAATCTTCAGGTGACCTGGACAGTGTCCAATCATTTTTTTTTTTCATGAAATTCTTGTGCCTTAAATTAGTGAAGTATTGTTTAACTTCAATTACTAAGGCAATCCAGTACTCCATATAAATAGGTTTTTCTCCGTCTGTTTCATTTTTTTAAATAAACATTAAGAGAACTAACAGCACCTTACTTAAAGGACTGAAAAACGTTTGGGAGGGACCATGGATAGAAATAAGCGAAATGTTCCTTGTGTCCTTCTGTGTAGAGATTGGTCTGAATTTAGCCCACTACCCATAGAATAGCTATGAAGTTCAGAGAACTTCCACTGTTTGGTGATATAGTCACCAGTAACTTTGAAATGGTAACCCCTCTTCTTGTGGGTCTGAATCTTGTTAAGGCATTTTACTGATTAGGATCTTCAAATTTTATTGAATTGTCTCTGACCTAAATGTTTGGTTATTTGAATTAGTAGTGTTTTCCCCTTTGGAGGGTTTGATAATCTATAGAAAACAGTGGTTCTTCTATCCGGGAAAGTATACACACACATAGACTCTCCCAATTTAGCATAAAACATCAGGGAGTTCAAGAATTGCTGGACCCATTGGAGGATCTGTTAGAACCTATTTGAAGTGTTCTAAAGAGCTTTGTGGCAACCAATGTATTTTCACAGAGCAAACCGATCAAGTTATTTTAAACAAAACGTCTTCAAGGAAGTTGATTGATATTAAATGCTTCGTGGGTCAAGGTGAGAATAACTAAATAAACAGAAAATAGGCAAAATAAAAGTCAGGCATATGCATAAAATTCTCCAGACACAGATGCTCTCACTTAAAAAGAGGCATATAATTATATCAGTATTACTTTAACAGCTTGTGGGTAAGCAAGTCGTGGGACTGAGGCAATATATCAATCTGGGTTTTATTGTATGAGACTAAATAATATTCAATATTTTCTAATTTGAATGTTCTAGTAATATCATTATTAATCTTGAAGTTTTTAAATGATAAATGAAGCCTGGCTGGTGTGGCTCAGTGGTTGAGTCATCCCATGCACCGTAAGGTTGCTGGTTCAATTACCAGTCAGGGCACATACCCAGGCTGTGGTCTGGATCCTCAGTAGGGGGCGTGCAGGAGGCAGCCAATTGATGTCTCTAAATCTCTCTCCCTTTCTTTCTCCTTAAAAATCAATAAAAACAGTAAACAATAAATAAGATGATAAATGAAATATTTCTGTATTCTTTCAGAGTTGACTTTAACCTAGAGGAAGTTAGGATATATTTTTCATGGTGGTCTCAATAGCACATTTGACATCAAAATTCATGGAGTATCCTTGGTGTTTAAAGTGTTTTACTCCTAGAGACAGCCATGTTTGTTTAATATGTTTCTTTATCAGCTTTCATAGTTGCCACTAAATATTTCAAGTACCTTTCAAATTTCTTGATTTATAATTACATTTCTCACCAAACTGAGACATGTTAGTAGCTTTATATGGTTTATAAAAGTACATTAGGAACCTTAAGTTTCTGAAAAGCAAGGTAGCACATGTGTCAAAATATAATTGTCAACATGTTGAACATAATTTTGATATACACAGGTACTGAGCACATGTCAAGATTTTATTTAGCTTAATCAGCAGGGTGGCAAAGCCAGTCCAAAAAAAGAGGAATATATATTTATTTCTGTATGCATATCTAGATCAATTCTGCTTCTATAAATATAAAATTTGGTACCAGTCTTCAGTGAGATCAGATTATTTAATTTACAGAATCCATTTAGAGTAAAAACTCCATATACCCTACCTGTTTAATAATGAAATGTACCCCTTCGGTTCTGGTATCTTTAACTTCATGGTTCTAAAGCTTTTGCATATATTAGACTCACCTTGTTAAAGACAGATCGCTGGGTTCTGCTTCCAGATATTCTTCCAGTCGGGGACATTTTTACACCTATGTGGAGAACGCAAATATAAATGACGGCCAGCTACCCCTAGTTTCTCAGCTTCACAAAGGGAAAGAAAAAAATTCCTTAAAGGAAGTAAACGTCCCACGTTCTATCGTGTATGAATGGGATCATTGAAAACCTAGAAATTGATGTGGGAGTTGTTTTAAAAAGTTCTCTGTGAAATGATTTCTTTCAAAGCAGAGCCCCTATTTCTAGTAAAAAAAAAAATTATATATATGATTTGGTCTCTCACTAGAGCTTCGTTTAGGGAAGGATGCTTGTCTTAGCAATCGGTGATATGGCAGAATGTAGAGTGAGGGCAGCCCTTCGGGTCATTCATGTGGAGCCACAGGCTGTGTGTGTCTCTTTCCAGGACCAAGAAACCTCCTTCCCCAGGGCTCTCTCAGCTCAGAGACTCTCCCCGCGATGGTGCTTTCTAGATGGTGAGTGTTTCTGCGTTTCACGGAGTGGTGGGGGGGTGGGGAAGCAGCAGGGCAACGCATCCCCTGGTGGAGTGGACTTGTTTTCCCAAAGATCATTCAGAAGATCAGTCAGAAGCCCTTCACGTGGCCCCACATGACGGGTGTTTGCATCTCAACGAGGTGGGCTTGCTGATATTACAACCTTTTCTGAGGTCGTTTTCCTCAAAGCAAGTTGGTTAATGCTGGCTGAACCCCTCAGTATCAGATGGCTCAAGCTGGCGTTTTCCTTCATTGCCCCCCCACCCCTGTACCCTAAAATGTGTTGTGTTGAGTGTCTCTCTTAAATGGAGGCCAGTAAATAGGTCAATAACCATGGGATGAGTACCAGCATGTATGTTTCTTACATATTTTGGATCTTTCATATCATTTTATTAAAGCATCAGTTCAGTGTGGTGCATCCACTTTTATCAAGGCGGAGAAAATGTCAGTTGCAGTATCTGCCCTGCTGAGCAGGACGTTGAATGCACAACAGCTGCTATTTTCTGATTGGCTGATGAGTCCGTTTTCCATTGCAGGCACCTCCCACTCCCTAGATGCTGCTCAATGCTGCTTTTCCATCTCATTACCTATATTGAAGTTTATTCCTGCTTATGTACCCAGTGTGTCTGCCAGCCAGGGTCTCTCTTGTCTTCGTGGTTTTCACTGTGACCCCCTCCCCTTCGTGTCTCTGTGTGTGCGTCCCAGAGGCTAGAAATGGGGAGAAGACTGGGTCAGGATGTGTGAGGGCTGAACAGTATGACAAAGATGAGCACTTGTATTATTCTGAAATCAAAGCCACACAAATCACGATGGCGCTCCCTTAACGGCTTCTCAGCTGCCTCTGCAGGTCGCTCTCCCTGCTCTTCCTCTGCTCTTTTAGTTCCTGGTGAGGAGAAGCACAATCATTCTCTTCTTCCAGAACTCGCAGAGCATTGTCTTGTATTTAAGAAAATGATGAAAATCTATAGGAGTGGTTCTGCATACAGTCTGTTCTCTATACGGTCTTGGATAAAAGTGTAAGTGTGTATGATGGTCCGAATCCATGTATGCGTTTCACTCTGTACGGAGCTTTATTGGAAACCATTAGAAGGTGACTGTGGTCCCGGCTGGAACGTACACAGTACAGTAAGCTCTTCTCGGGCAGACTTTCTCCTGCTGCTTTCGGAGGGCAGGGGCCCTGACTGTTTTGCTTCTTAGCTCATTTCCTTGGGAGGAAAGCTACTCGTTAAATATTTATGATTTTTAAATGATTATTTGCATTTTGAATTTTTCCCTCTAGTGCTGTGTAGAAAATATATTTATAAGATTTGGACTCTGGTAGGTCGATTTAAGCAAGGAGAAACATAATTCTTTTGAATATGAAGAATAATCAGAATAATTTCTAAAAACTCGTTTGTAAGACATTTTCTCTCGAGCCACAGCTGCAGCCCAATTACGTTGAGAAATGCTTAATATATAAATATTCTTTTTTTTTTTTTTGCTCTGTTTTGACTCTCTTCAGACATAGCGTAGGGACTCAGTTTTAGGTGAAATTATTCCTTGACTACCAGATGTGGTCCCTGGCTTTGCATCTTCAAGATCTCTTCCAAAGCGAGAATCACTTTCTTGGGAAGCCTGGCTACTAAGAATTTTTTCCTAGCTTTATTTACTTCCTAAAATACACATGGAGTCCCAGCTCTGTTTAAGGTCCTAATATCTGGAGACATCAAAGAACATATGAAACACAGATTGTTAAAGCAGCAGATACGTTAGTGTCCTAGTCGTCTGTGATGCTAGTTTCTGTAAGAAATGTAAGCAAATGTTCGTGTGCACAGAGGTAGGAGCATGGACTCTGTCTGGAGTGGGGAGGATGGGATTGTGGAAGGTCTCAGGGAGGAGGTGACATTTCAGTTGGTCCTTAAAAGACAAGTATGATTTAGACAGACAGGTGTAGTGGGGAAAACAGGGCTTTCTACACAGGGAGATGGTAACAGCAGAGGTGTGGACCTTCTGAGTTTTTCTTGATAGATTTGGGGACTGGTCAGTAGTCTGTGTGGCTGGAATGTAAGGTACTAATAATACAGTAGGACAGAAGGTTAAACATTTAATGCCAGGTCACAGGACACTCTGAATGCCATATCCTTTTTTTCCTCCTAGCAACTTCTGCTGATCGCTTTTATCGAATAGACAGATCTCAGGTAAGTTTTCCAGAGCCTACTTGTGAAAGTGAAAAATTCCCTAGTAAATACGCTGTTTGGTAGCGAAGCTGATACATTTTTCTAAGAAATACACAGAAACATTTATGCATTTTGGAATGGTACTCTTGCCTAAGCTATGAGCTTTTTACTTGTCTTGTGTTTTGTGATTTGTGGACGAAGATGATATGGCTTGACCTTTGAAATGAGTACAAAAAATAACTAGGCTTGTAAATATTATTACCAGCCTACGCTTCTGAGTTTTATTCACACTGCTACTTACAAATACTGCTTCCTAGTCGAAGTGTATGCCTTTTAAAATTTGAGACATCAAGTATATATCTGGGCTACTAAGTTTCAACTCATCACTTCCCAGAGTTGAGTAATAAGAGAATAAAATGCCTAATGATAACAGTTTTCCCACAGTCCAAATTCTCCTGCAAAAAGAGAGTTCAGTGTAGAATCCAGCAATAAAGCCAGTTGTTAACTATGCCATTTAGCCCTGACCTGGTCCTTGGGGTGGAAGCCCAGGTTACTGTGCACTCATGCGGAACCAAGTTCAATGTGGGGGTGTCATGTCTTTGATAGTATTAGGGAAGAAGAGGCCACCCCATCCCTGGTGATACCTAACAAGATCCTGGTCCACTAGGAACCCAAACCAAGAGGATTCACCTCTCTCCCTCCCCAGCCTCTTGCTACAAAGTTGCTCCAGGGAGGGATGGCCACTGGTCAGCACTCTGAACAGTCACTGTGGTCATTTGGTACGTCACGGGATTTCATTGCTCTTCAAGACCAAGAAGCTTGGTTTTGTTATTCTTCAGATGGTGGCTTCGAGCATCCTATCAGTCATCTGACAGACTTCTTTTTCTTCCTTAGGAACATTTGCACTTTGTGATGGAGATTTCTCAAGATGAGGTGTTTATTCTAGACCCAGACATGGCATTGTCCCAGCAGGCAGGGACCCCGCCAGGAATGCCTGACCTGGTGGTGGAACAAGCTTCGGGGTGAGTATGCGTCTCCTTTGGCCACAGGCTGCCATCAATGTCCTGTTTGGCTTAGGAACTGACATTTCTTATGACATCACAGTGTTTTAAAATGCAATGCTTTCCTCCATGTCCATGGGGGAGATGATTCAAGACCACTACAGACTGTGTTTTTTCCTATACATACATACCTATGATAAAGTTTAACTTATAAATTAGGCACGATAAGAGATGAACAACAACACCTAGTAATACAATGGAACAATTATCATAATATACTGTGACAAAGGTTAGGTGAATGTTCTTTCTCTCTTCCCCCCACCTCCACCCTCTTTCTCTATAACCAGTCTTATAACTTGGAAGAGCAGCCACGACGTGACTAATGGCAGGTAGTATATACAAGGTGGAGACCCTGGACAGAGGGTGATTCACACCCTGGTGGGACAGAATGGGACCGCATGCGATTCCATCAGGCTACTCAGAAGTTAAAACTTAAGTATTGTTTACTTCTGGAAATTTCCATTTACTATTTTTGAACAGAGGTTGACCACAGGTAACGGAAACCACAGAAAGCAAAACCATGGCCCAGTTGGGGTTCCTGGACAGGTTTTCCTGTTGGGTTTCACCAGAGTGTTGTAGAGCTGGTTTCATTATAAGTCTGTCTTGTAAATGTTTCTATAGAAATACTCTTTTCCACCCAGGGTTGCATCATGTCTGAGCCTTCTTTATGTAGCACATCCACACTTCCTACCAAACCGGAAAGCACTAGTAGTTGCTACTGTGCATATATAACTTCAATGCCTGTATTAGCCAAATAAAAATGGACACAGGTGATTTGGCAATTCTTTTTATCCTCCTCCCCCTCCTCCTCCTTTTTGACTCTACCCAGGCAACCCAAGACATGTTGGTTGTGTAACAGTAATGATCACATGTCAAGTGCTTATAAATGCCTTCCTTGTATCCCTCGCACACTTCATGGTGACTCAATCATCATAAGTGTTCTGTGCTTGCTTCCTCATCTGTAAAATGGACACAGTAAAAACCTACTCATATAGTTGTGTGGAATGAATTGCTACCTGTGAAGCATTTAGACTAGTTCTTGGCACTTGATAGATACTCATGGAACATCACGTTATTAACATCATCCTTATCCTCACATCACGTGACCCTGCTAATTTGTTACTATTATTGTCCTAAATTCATAGATAAGAAAATTGATACCTGGCGGGTTGTGTAACTTTGCCAGTATGGCACAGAAAACATGGAAACATTGAGATGTAGTCCCAGGTTTTCTGATGTTAGAGCCCATGAGTTTCATCACTACGTTGAACCACCAAAATGTTATTCGTATTTCTAGGTTATTTCAACAATTCAAAAATATTTATCTGGAGCTTTTTTATGTTCCAATTACTAATGTAAACGCTTGGGAACAAGGGTACCAAAATCAAAACAGACAAAATCTCTGCCCTTTGTGAAGTCTGATGAACTCCAGTAGTCTACTGGTTCAGATAAGGATTTCCCTGGAAAGCACATACACATGCACTTAAATAGCATACACAACGTGTGCACACATACCTATACAATATAACAGATACTCAGCTGAGTAACCCTGAGGCCTGTTTACCCCTCTTCACTAGTTCAGTTGACCCTTGCTGCTGGTTCTGAGTCTCTCCTACTCTGCCAGGGCCAGCCGATGCCTGTGGCCATCAGGAGAAGGCGAGTTGTAGGTGGAACAGATACAGAGCTGTGCTTAGGAAGCCAGAGCTAATGATGTCAGAGCTTCCTGGTACGAAGGGAAACCCAACAGGCACAAAGGTGTTCTAACATAACCCTGGGAGTTTCAGAAGGTGATGGAGAGAGCCAACTTTGTGATCCACGTGCTGTAAATCAAGCTGACGAGTGAGATGCTGTGTCTCTACTGCAGAAGCGTAGCTGGTAGAGTCTAGATGTTCTCCCCGCCACCCAATCTGAGCGAAGGGATGATTCAGATGCCTTTGGTCTAATCTGTCCTTGATCTGGTAAGAGTGAGCCCATTCTGCCCAGATCATCCTAGTCTTTGACCTGGTGACCATTCTTTCCATGTCAAATCATGGCCAAAAGAAATGGCTTTGTCTTGGGTTAGAACTCATTCACTCTAGCTCCACACATAACACAGCCTGAAAATCCACAAGTACTGAATCATTCCCTTTCTTACTTCTCATTATTGGCCCCCACTAGACATAAACCAGGAAGAGCGGAGCATTGACAGACGACGGGCCTTGTCATTTTCACATCTGTTTTCCTATACCAGGCTCCATCACTGCTTGTATGTTACCTTTTATTTTATTGTTTTCTTGACTGTATGAGTTATTTTATTTTTAAAATTTATCTTTACTGTTGAAAGTCTTACAGGTGTTAAATTTTATTTATTAAATTTTTTTCCTTTATTGATTTTAGAGAAAAAGGAAGGGAGAGGGAGAGAGAGAGAAACATCGATGAGAGAGAACATCGACCAGCCGTCCCCTGCATGTCCCCCATTGGGGATTGGGCCCACAACCTGACTGGGGGTCAAACCAGCGACCTCTTGGTACATGGGTCAACGCCCAACCACTGAGCCACACCAGCCAGACTAGATATTACATTTTAAATGACTTCACCTTGAAATTCTGTTTGCACATCTGTAAGGAGAACAGAATCATACAGCTAGTTCATGATAGTTGAGAAAATTCAATGAAGTAATAAAACGGGAAATGCCTAGTAAGTACCCAATACAGATGAATGTCCCTTCTCACGTGTAGGGACCAGACTCATCTTGAGAAAGCACAGAGTAAGTGCTGTGGCTGGCTTGCTCACAGGCCTGGTGCCCTTTTCCCCCAGAATGTCAGACTGGTGGAACCCTGCGCTCCGGAAACGCATGCTGAGTGACAGCAGTCTGGGAACGGCGACCCCGCGTTACGAGGACTCGGATATGAACGATCTCAGCCACTCCCGTGTGCTACAGTAAGAGGCCCCTCTCTTCTCTTTCCCTGTGTGTCCCCGTGATTCCTGGCAAAGGACTGTGTGGGGTCTCCACCAACGGGAAGGCTTCTCTTTCCAGTGGTGCTCACCTTGTCCCATGACTGTGTCACCTTGTGGTTTGACATTTTATTCACTTCACTCACTTTTATCCCTCCAGCCTCCCCTGAGGGGCTTCACTTTTCATTTCTCTTGCTCGTGAGCCACACTGAGACTTTCATGTGGCTCTGCAAATACTTGCAACCCGAACCGTGTCTGCTCTCCCGGGAATCCATGTTGACGAGACATTTCACTGTTGGCCACATCGTGAAGACATGCGCGAGCGTGATCACGAGTCGTTTGGAAGTGACACAGCGTTTTCATTTGTGTGGGCGTGTCACGTGTTGTTGTTGTAGCTGGTTCATTTTTGTCCTGAGCCTGTGGGTGTACACTCCGGGTAACAGCGCCAAGGGGTTTGGGCTGATGGGGTGCTCACGCTGCAGATTCGGCACCGGTTCATGCGTTGGAGGAACAGGTGTGCTTTCTTCCGGGGCCTCATCACAGTCAGAGTAGGGGGATGTCGGAGTTTGCAACCGTGTTGGTGCACGTGTGTGCAGCGAATCCCCCCTTCTTTGTTCCTCCCCTAGGAGCAGGTGCAATCTGTGGTCTCGACACACTTGCTCACACCCAACTTTTGACTTCAAGCCTATCACCCTGTTTTAGAGGTTATACAAGTTCATTGCAATTCATGACATTAGGCTGATTTCCAGTTTGATCCAAGGTCCTAATCAAATAGGCACAATGGCCCTGTAACCACGCCATCTTACTATTTTTATGAAATAACAGAATTACTGACAATCTTAGGAGCGCTGAAGAGGCAAGACAATGCCTGGCTTCATAGGAAGAGAGGAAGCAATTTCTGTATGACAAAGGGGAGGAAAATGAGAAATCCGAAGCGAATTATATCACTGGGAAGGGTTGTACTTAGACACTCTAAGGACAAAAGTTGACTTCATTTTAAATGCTTTTCTGTGCTGCTGCTTCTTTCTTGTTTTGTTGTGTGAAGAATGGAAAGGAAAAATTGAATTACTGTGGATTTTCCTTTTTAATTAAAGCATGTTGTTAGTTTCTGATGGCATTTTGATTGCTTACAATTCAGGGTATTTTTCCATTTCCTTTTTATGCAGAATTAAGGCTTGTGAACCTGAATGAGTCAGCCGCCCACTGATGGCTCTAAAAAGTGGCCATCTAGCTGTGGACAGATTTGTTTGGAAATTAGAGTTTTAATTAGCTGCAGAAATGGAAATGAAGCCTAGATAAACCAGACAAGTGTTTTAGTTAATATTATACACAGACTATTTCAGAAAAGTCGAGTATGACTCAGTCTAGTTTCCTATGTCCTAACTTTTCTGTATGTAGTATAATAACATATATATTATGCTATGTGGAGTTATAGCTTCTAAGATAATAAATATTCTTCCCATGAATCACAAATAAATGTATATATAACGGCCAAGTTCTTAAAACTCTAGATGAAAATCAACTCATTTTTTTTTTTTTATGTGGGTTATATTATCCTTTTAGGGATTTCCCTTACTCTTTTATTGATCTTCAATTGGCAGCCATCAGTTTTCCTGGCCATGGCTCTTAAATACACAAGGGCAGCTGACTCTGTTCAAATATATTTTCTGCCAAATCACTTGGAAAACAAAGGAACATTCAAACATTCAGCCACAGCCTTTGAGTCTTTCCAGCTGAGGCTCCAGATGTTGGGGAACAGAGACAAGTAACCCTCACTGATCTATCTGAATCCCTGATTCACAGAACACATGAGCATGATAAGATGGGCTTTTTAAATCACATTTTAAAAAAGGAAATACCGTACCCTACCCCAATGTGTCTATTAATCCTTTAAAAAAAATTTTTTATTGTGTTTATTAATTCCTTAGGAAGAACATCTCTTTATTTTCTTTAGCGATCATTTCTAATATAAAAAAAGTATAATTGCAGTTATGGAATAATGCAATTATACGTCATGTTACTAATGAGTATTGATACTTGCTTTGTACCACAGTTCAGTAACCTTTGATTCTTTCAGCATTTTTATATTTTGCCAGTGCTTAGCGGCTCAATAAACTGAGGCTCTCAAGGATTAAAATATTGATCTTAGGTCAATAATCCAAAATAGCAAGTGTAAGAATTGTGGCCTGACCTTCAACCCCATGCAGTTCTCACTGTGCTACACGGTCGTCTCCAAGGACCGGTGCAAATGCCGGATGCCCCGTGCCCCACGGCCCAGGAGTCACTTTCTTTGCTTTCTGTTTTTCTTTTCGCATTTTCAAAGTGAAAAATTCTATAATATGGGGAAATTATGTATATGTCTCGTGTGTGTGTGTGTGTGTGTGTGTGTGTGACTACAGATTAAGCCCGTAGTCAATATGGCTGAGAATTTTAAAGCAATTACTTTTGCTTTCTAAAAAAAAAATTGAAACAAAAATAATGATAAACTTTTATTTAAAAATTATCAAATATATATAAAAGGGGGGCATCTGTAATACTTCCAACAATAAAAAATAAAAACAAACATGTTAATCAGAAAAAAAATAAGTATAAAAATGATATGAAAGGTACTCATGTGCCGGCCATCCTGATTATCATGTTAGTGTACTCTGTTATTTACTTTAGGTCTTTCCTTCCCGTCATAAACAACATAGGGTGGCATAAAGATGTGTAGTGCTTTATGGGTATTTTTTGGTTTTTAGTGGTTTATTTGTTTGGTCATCCATCACCTGTATCCTTCAATGCATACACTTGTGGAACTTGCCATTTCATTGAACATCATCAAAACATTTTATTCACATTGATATATATTGTTTAAATCCATTTACTTGATATAGACTATTACATTATAAACAGGCCATAACTTATTTCTCCATTGATTTCTAGTCATTTATTATTTAAGAAATGCAGGAAACATCCTGCAACATGCACCCTTCTGGGCCGCAAGGTATACGTGCAATTTCAGATGCAGTCAGTATTGCAGAACACACCTTCCCATGAGGGATACGTAAGAATCAGGAGTGAGAAGGGTCCGAAGAAGCAGTGCGGTGTTCTAGGGATGGCTGGTATCTACAGCCTTCAGCTTCAAAGTGCCAGCCAACGGAGAGAGGAAAAGCTGAATTTTAACACCCTACTCATGATGTCAAATAACCCCCTCTATAAAAAAAAATCAAACAGGAAATTTTTAATTCTTGGGACTGAAAATACCATTTATTAGAATTAGCAGGAAATCACGGAAGTGGAATTCACGGAATGGTTTATGGCTCTAAATTCATTTATCCAGAGAAAAATGATTGCCTACAAATAAAGCATTCCATTTGATAAACTGAGAAAAAGACTCCCACAGTAGAGAACAAAGAAATGAGAGAACAGTGAAGACAGAAATCAGTGACAAGGAGAACAAAACAAACAAAATAGATGCCCAACAAAGAATAAAATTTAAAAAGTGACTCATTATAAAGGTAAACAAGAGAGACAACATTATGGGAAAACGCATTAGAACGATAAATACGTGAAACAAAAAGGGCTGTAACTACAATGCTTCCCCCAATCTATTCCTCTTCCATGGCAGGCTCCCCTCCGAACTTGGACTGACCCAACCTCTTCGTGTCTTTTTTTGGGTTTCATCCTACTTACAAAATCTAGGTGGTTTTTTTTGTTTGTTTTTTTTAGATCCATCAACCTTCTTCCTACTTCAGGGAGAGTAAGTAAGACAGAAGAAACAAACGGAATGAATTAGATCTCTTATTACTGGGACTGGTTGCATATATATTATACTTTCACATAGAAACATCAAATTGTTTTAGGAAAAAACATCTGCATCTATATATAATACAGAGAGGCCGCTTATACATAGGTCCTCAAGGGGAGGCTATATTTCCAGTGAAAGTCACAACACATATAGAGATATCTAAAACACCTAAGAATACTTTAAACTGAAAAAAAAAATTACCCTCTTTACTGGAGTCTACAGTTCTGAACCGCCGTATCAAGAAGACATTTCTGGACTCTCCCCTCGTCCCCAAACTCAGAAGTTCTGGGCCCAGCCTAAGGGCAATAGCTTCATTCCCCTCCCATCTTCTGCTATTTCCTTTACCCAGTTTCTTCTTGGAACATTAGGTAGGGGCCTGACTCTTAAGAAAAAAGATAATTGCACGTATTGTCAAAGCTCCAGGTTCTCAACAGGAAGACAGGCTATTGAGCAATGATTTGGGTTGTGGAAATATCCTTCAAACATCACAATCAGATAAGAGGGAGAAAATTAATCTTCTTAGTGGGGTGTAGGTTTGGCTGGCCTGTGTCTTGCAGATTAAATCAGTGCTGTCAGGATAGAGAAAGCGCCTTGCATCTGTTTCACTAAGATAGTTGGGTCCATCCTGACTTACCTCTGACTGCTCTGAATCTTGTTCTTGCTGGCTAATCGCTCAGGCTGGAAAGGCTACATTTTAGCTGACGTGTATCTTTCTTCTTCTTCTTCTTCTTCTCCCTGCCTTACCTCAAGTTGTCACCTTCTCTATTTAGCTAAGAACATAATAACACTCTGTCCCTTTATGTGTGCAAAATATTTAGTAAAAGCTTTTCCTCTGTCCTTTTCATAATTGCCCCTAAAACAGTGCTGCGTATTTGGACTCTAAACCTTTTCCAGACACAGAGTTCCATTTCCATTTCCAAGGTCAGTTACTGGCAGACCGAGAAAAGAATTCTTTATGCACCAGATCTTATTTTGACCAACCTTAGGGGAGAAAAAGCTTGCTAACGTAAACTAATAAGAAGGTGCTCAAGTATTAAACATCCATTTGATTTGAAAGGATGTCAAGAAATTCTGCCCTTCCATTTCTATGCGTTCTACATTTTGCAATAATTACTACACGAGGGAATATTATCCCCATTGAGTGGCTCTCTTTTCTCATTTGTAACACATGGTGGCCTGACCGACTCACACTTGA